AGGATGAGAGAAGGGAATTTTATTTCCCTTGGTTTATAATACCACTGAAAAGAAGGTATATAAATGTGTTAGAATTTTGGCAAATTTCTCTCAGTTATGATGACCACGTATACAAGGTGATTTAAGAGAAAATAAAGCTTTCAAAACTTTAACAAATTTTACATTAATGCAAAGCTAGAATTTTGTTTTCTCTCTGTTAAAATGATAAATTGATCTTAGAGCTCTTACCCAGTGGCAGTAAAAAGTTATTCTTTACCTTTCGTGTAATGTGTAGATAGCAGAAATTGGAGAAAAATGCAAAGATGATTTTTGTGTTTCTTTTATTGTTTGTTTTCCAGCTCCTACTTATTAGTGAGGACATGTGGTATTTCTCTTTCTGGCTTATTTCACTTAACATAATTTTCTCTAAGTTCATCCATGTTGCTGCGAATGGCAGAATTTCGTTCCTCAAAGATGATTTTTGATCAAAAGAAGGCTGGTTTTGTTAGGTTCGGCCTGATTATTTACGTACATGCACCAGAATAGTTTCTCTGCTTTGTGTTGACTTTATCACACCCTTGATTATTTAAAAAATAAGTAAAAAGCAAAGTTTCCTCAGTAGTAGAAGTGCTAAGTTTCTTATAATTGTGCTGTCTTCTTCTATGTTGATCTAAAAAATATTTTATTGTCATTTTGATTAAATAGGTAACCAACTTTTATTTCTCAGCACTCATGCTACATTTAAATAAAGTGTCTAAATCCTCTCTGGTAACTTTTTAAAGTTTTGCCTCCCAAGATCAGATTCTAAATTTAGAAAAGAGCTATTTCCAGGATATCTTGTATACTTACAGTAACTATCTTTGAGATTTCCTAGAGGGCTCTTGGAAGATTACAAAGATTATTTCACTTTAAAAAAGGAGGGATGCTGGAAACAATCAGGTTTATATGGTGTTTTCCATATTTCTCAATTAGCTCAATACTAATAAAAGAACAGCATGAATAGAATTGTCAAGTCAGAAACAACATTAAGCCTTCCCGAGGTTAAGTTTGTATGGGTAAAATGCTATTATAAATAATTAAGATATTGTACATTTTATGGAAAGGCCCTGGAGATTTGTTCTTACCCTCGGGGGAAATATTGGTCAATTTTTTATGAAATAATTATGTAGAGTTCCACAATAGAGAATTTTACTTTCCTCCTTTCACTAATGACAGTCATTGTTTCATTATCATTTCTGCTTTTATCAGATGCTTGTCTGAAGATTCTCCTCTAAGCTTAAAGCCTCTAAGTGTCAGAGCCTCGTAGAAAGCATTGTAGAAAAGATAGCTAGAGTATCATATATTCTTGACCATTGGTACTATAAATAATAGACTCTTGGGTACAGGATTCTCGGCTGACATCGCTTAAACACCTTTCAACTGTACCAGTAGACTGAGTCAGAATTTATGGATTCCAAGATTCCAAAGATTTCCTTCAGTTCAGTTTTATGGCAGCTCACTTCTTGTCCCAAGATCCTGAGAAATAAGAATTAATTACAAAGGACTGACTGAATGGAAGAGGGAGATTTTTATTATGGTTGTTTGTGTGGAATATCATTTTGCTTTTGATGTTTTATTTTTTATGGATACACAAGGAAGCCCTTTCTCTTTCATCTTAAACTATCTCTGACCTTCAAGTTAATTTACTGTGTAAGTAAACTAAAATGAAACATTGTAAAATAGTATCTGTTTCTCACTGATGTCCTCAGGATTCAGAAACAAATACTTTTAGTGAGACTCCTTACTTGCCATGACAAAATAGTTATTTGCACAGGTTCAATAAGAATCTGTCCTTCTTTTTACCAAGATATTATTGGACAAATTGCTCAACCAAAGCCATACCCAGAGGGTCATAATTGAAATGATGCTCCTAATCAGAATAAGAAGTTTAAGTTAAGGAACAAGGGGTTGACTATATGTGGAGCCAAAGTCCTCCTCTCAAACTGGCCTTGGTGCTTGCCTCCATGTCCCAGGCTTACCAGTGGTGAGGAAGGTCACTTCCTTAAAAGCCAGGGACCTTAGCAAATTTTGCAGACAGATTTCAAGAAGAGAAGAATTTATACTGATGTACTGACACTGTAGGTAAAATCTGGTACAGTTTCTTGGGCTTTGGGCCCTAGCTTTGGGATAGAGGAGCAAATAATGGGGGCTTTTAAAAGTCTGAGATTCATTATGAAAGCTTCTGAATATAAGGGTAATTATTTTTGGCCTTAGTAGTTGCCTAATAACCTAGGGCTCCAGATTTGCAAAGAAAATTGAGGCCTGTATAGTTGAACTGCTACATATAAATAAATAATCAGGCCAAACCTGACAAGACCAGCCTTCCTGTGATCAAGAATCATCTTTGAATGTTATTTATGATTCCAAGGTGAGAGACTGTCAGAAAAATTGTCTGAAACTTACAAACAAAAAAACAAGAGAGGCACATCCTTTCAATTTCAAACTGGGGAGAAGGCCATCCAGTGGAAAAGATAACTTCAAAGGTTATGGTTTATGGCTTTGTTGGACATTAACCAGATTTACATCTAACTCAGCAATATTACACTAACATTGCCTTGAGTACCTGGCTTTTCTAATGGTCTTGGAATAAGTTTTGATGTCATGCTGGTTCCCTTGCTAATTGAATAAATAAAATCTTTGACAGGTGTTCATTTTATATTTACATGAGAATAATGGTTTTTAACCATTTGAAAATTATTCTTTATCAGTGTATTTCACACTGTGGTGGTAATGACTCCTAATACTAGGCAGTGAGTCTTGATGGCAGGACAGTGTCTACAGCGTCTGGTACCTAACTCCATATAAATATCTGGGCAATCCATAAACACTACCTAAATGGTATTAGATTTAAAAATATATACATATTTATTTATTAATATATATTTTTTACATTCTAAGATGTTGCAGAGCAGTTGCGGATTAGAGGGAGAGGGAAAGGGGGAGGGAAATAGGGTAGAAGGAGGAAGGAGGGAGGGTGTGGTCGAGACCTGTGGCACCCCCCTCATTCTGGCCGGGGAGACCAGGGGGCTTCCAGCGGCAGCTTGGTCATTGCTGGGTTGGATGCAGATGTCAGGGGGGTGTGGCTGAAGCCCCTGGCCCTGGTATTTGATTTTTAAAAGAGGAGTTTTATAACTGACCCTTAAACATCATTCCTGTCATTTTAACTTGTATTATTGTCTGTTTCTTAAGGAAATTTTCTAGGGTATATTATCAGGGAACTTTGCTAAATGGTGGCAGAACTGGAAAGTGGACTGTCCTTTAAGAAAGATATTCTCTGAGATCTGTTGGTTGTCAACCATTGAGTCAGACTAGGGGTGAAGTGGTTATTCTATATTTAATTCCAGCATCGGTTGTTTGGTTGCTCTTTAGTAAGGAAAAGTATTTGCAAGTAATAATTAGCATGATGTGCCCAAATGGATCATTAGATTTTGTTGCTGTTTAATATGAACAGGAACAAACACTTCATGGATAAGTACCATTAATAAGAAAAGGAACCAAATGGAAGGGTAAATCGTTTTAGGTTTAGGTTATTGATGGTTTTTAAATCCATCAATAGTGCTAGGAAATCAATGTAAAGTATACAGTGTATCTTACTGACAGTGGGGAGACACTAGCACCATTTTCACATACTATTTAGATTGCATTTGGAATGAACATCTATTGTTTTTCTTTTTCCCCTGGTGTTCCTTTAGGCAGCCTTTGCCTCCTGCATTCCACATGGTCTGGGAGCAATGGCAGACATTGTTAATCACTCATCCCCTTCTTCCATTAACTCCGTATAGTGGTACATTTATATGTCATGCTAAACAGATTTCTGCTTCCTGAGAATTTAAATCCTGAGCAGAATGATTAAGGCATTTAAAACTAAACATTATAGGGCCGACCCTGTGGTGCACTTGGGAGAGTGCAGCGCTGGGAGCGCAGTGACCCTCCCGCCGCGGGTTCGGATCCTATATAGGAATGGCCGGTGCGCTCACTGGCTGAGCGCAGTGTCGTATAACTTCGTATAATGTATGCTATACGAAGTTATTACGAGTGTTTTATATTTAGCAGGTATTCAATAAACATTACAAAATATTTATTTTTTATTCTGATAAGAACCAGAATGATTTTCTTTTAAGTAATGTTAACCTCTTAATTTTTTCCCCCAAAAAACTAAACATTATAATAACAGCATCCAAAATGACTGGCCATGGTTTCCTGACTAAGATCCCTAGCCTACTTTCATTCCTTGGGACTACCTGCTCATTCAGCTTTTCCTAACATTCTGTCTCTTTCCATTAATTCCCTTTTGCTTAAATCAGCCAGATCAAGTTTATGTGGCTTACAACCAAAATTTAACTGGTAAAATATCTATTTTCCAGATGAAGTGATTTAAGTCAAGTGCTACACTCAGTGGTCAAATCAACGTCCAGCCCATGGCTCTCTCTTCTAGACTTTGGTGAAACATGAGTTTATAGCACCTCTCTAGTAGTATTAAAGAGCATTTCACTGTATTGAAGAATTGACTTTTCTTTCACAGAGGACTTTTCCTACTGAAAAACTTACAAGAGAAGAATATTCTAAATAGACTACTAGAAATGGCAATCAATAAGTCTTTTTTGATTGACTGATTTGCTTTCAATTTATTTTAATTACATATATTGTTTGATCTAATGAAGTATCTTTTTTTTTTTTCCTTTCTGTCTTTTTTCGTGACCGGCAATGGATCGCAACCCTCAGTGTCGCGCCCGTACCGGACCGGGACCGGCAACGGAATCGCAACCCTCGGTGTTGCGCCCGCACCTCGCTCAGCCAGTGAGCGACCGGTCTGTATGTGGGATCCGAACCCTCAGCGGGAGCGCCGCCGCGCTCCCAAGCGGCGCACTGTAGCAGTGCGCCACCGGGCCGGCCCTAATGAAGTATCTTGGTAGGGCATAATGGTTAATCTAAAAATCCTGAAGAAACCCTTAATAATCTTATATAATTAAAAAACTAGTATGAAAACTGACATAAAAAGTACTTTATTTACTTATAATACCACTTTGTAAACAATCACACTGTGCACTTTTAAAATTCAACAATAACAGCATTTTTTAAGTGGGTTTATAGTACAAGAATGAAGATGAATAGGGCAGAATAATTTCTGAAAATGTCAAATTACAACACTTTATACAAAGACAGATAACTATATGTACCATAAAAATTTACAAACCATGAAACATTAATTTATACTTTTAAATATGCAGTAAAACATTTATAAAAAAAGCATCAACATTAAATTTATTATAAACCAGTGAATTACTCAGAGAAATATTTATTAAAACTTACTAAAAATCAGTAAATATTGCAACTGAGGTAAAAATTTATAAGTAAACAAAACTATCATTTGTAAAAGTAAATGGCAGGGCAGACATTTTTGATGACTATGTCTACTCCTTGATATTTTGAAGCAGCTTCAAAAAATGTGATTCAATAACCTGTTGAACTAGAACAGATAGGCATTCAATATCATACAAAATTTTAAAAAATATATCAAATTTAACTTAACATCCCCAATTTTTTCCTAAAATAAGGTTGTTTCTAGGTAGGATACACTCATAGTCTGAGGGCAACAGTGCAGGGCAGTACTTAAAAAAACTTAAAACTTAGTCTGTCACTGACTTAGTAATTGTCCAAGTTACTGGACTTTCTGTGCCTTCATCTCTACTGAAACTGAAGGAGATTCCAGAGTACAAGGCTGTTCTAATGTTGTTCTATAAATAGTTTGATAAGAAAATATTAAATAAATCTTATTAAGTAGGTGTGCACTTCTTCTCCAGTAACTAATTATTTGGGTTGATGAAAAGTACAGTAACAAACTCGTTTCTAAACTATGTAGGAATTTGTTGACTTTGCCCCACAGTTAAAAGTACAAGGGTACTTCAAAAAGTTCGTGGAAAAATGGAATTGAAAGATAATACAAATCTTTCCATCAACTTTTTTGAAGTGCCCTTGTATATGCTGGGAGTTAGGATAACATGTTTTATGACTCAAGTGGTAAAAATGATTTGGACCACTGGCTTATACTATTTACAGAGCTTTACTAAAATGAAACCCAAGTTCTAAAATACTTACCACTTCTATAGCCCAGAGCTACAGCTAAATCCATAGAATTATATCCAGAGTCAGTTTCAATTGTTGGGTCAGCTCCATTTTCTATATCAAAATAGAAAAATCTACATAAATAAAATGAAAATGTGGATATGTTTGTCTATTACTTTCTCATGTGCAAACAGCCGGGGCAGATTTTCAGCAAATTTGGAGGGTATTTTCAGGATGGTCTGACAAAGTACAGAATACATGGGGTATACAGAATTCACTTTGGTGTATTGCAGGGGAGCCACTTCAAACAAACAGACATGATCCAGAGTGGCTGAAACTCATAAACAACTGAAGACAGAACATATGCATAAAGACACTGTAGATGGAGAAAACACTGGATTCAAATGGGAACCCCCAAATGAAAGCCACAAGGATAAATCTCCAATTGCTGATGTGGTGTGTGACGGAGCTGTTTCTCATGTGGAAACTCAATGGTAGTAGGTGTTTGAGGGGTGAACAGCAGCAGGATCAATGTACTTAGCAATAGTTTCTGATTCTCCTAAGTAATACCAGGGGAGGCCAGGTTGAAAAAAGTAGTGTTCCCATGGCATTTTCTAAATAACTTTTACTTTTATCTGCTTACCTAAGAGCATCTTTACACATTTCACATGATTTCCATGTACAGCATAAAGCAAAGGTGTCCCTCCATTCTGTAAATGGAAAAGGTGATTGATAGTTTTTCAGGGTAAGCAATATTCGAGTAATTTAATGCTGCTGTGAGAAGTTTTACTAAGAATTGGACATGTAAAAGTAGATTAACATCATTTTAACATTTTGTGCAGAATACTTAGATCAGAACTAAGAACTGAGTTTATGACATTCATTAACTTTTTCTTCCAGATATTCAGTTAATTTAATTATTTAATTATTCTTCCATGTGTTTAATAACATTTATTATATCTTCCCCAAACCAAATAAATTCTAGAATTTGTTATTGTAATTTTAAATTCAGTATCGTAGACTCACCCAGTCATATTCATTCACATCAACTCCACAATCAAGCAGCATTTTGACAATATCTGTATAACCTTTACTACAGGCCAATGACAGTGCACTTTCTCGACCTTTTCCTAAAAGTTGGGGATCAGCACCCTGGCGTGGGAAGGGGAGATAAAAGACTTTTCAATTAATTTAAACAAGAATATTGTTATTTCTGTCAGTAATAATTACAGTTCAACACTTAAGTCAGGTAATGTAGAATTAATAAATAATGGAAAGTTTATTCATGATGTCCTTGTTATCAAGATTGTTTGGATGCCTTCCTACCTCCCCCTGTCTATCTTAATCCTAACTATGCTTTCACTCTGGAGTCAAGTCACAGCTCATCCATGAAGCCTCCTCCTGCACAGCAGACAGTACTTTTGTTCCCGGTGCACTTAAGGGGGCTGGGCATCAAGTTATTTTTCACTGTTTCATGTATGATCAGTCTTGTCTTCCCAACTAGATCCAAGTTCCACAAGAATATGAAAAGCATTAAAAAATTTTTGTATCCTCTGTCATATTTAGCTCTTTGGAGATACAAAAACTTTACTGAAGACTTAACTGAACTTATATAACTGTACATATACATTTTCTGAGTCATTTTCCTTACATTCTGAAGTAGAAACTCTACCACAGCTATTTGCCCGTGTGCTGCAGCCCACATCAGAGGAGTAAATCCTTCTTCATCCGTGTGATTGATAACATTTTCTATTTAAAAGAAAAGCAATTTTTGTGATCTAATTTAATGACATATTGATATCACTATGAAAATACTAACATTCCAAAAAGTTGATTATATTACTCAATGAAGTTCACTTTCTGCTGACTTTTGTTCCTGAAGTCCTATTATGTGCTACTGTAATTTGCCATCTGAATGTATTAAAGTGTGCCTCAATATATATAGCTGAGTTCATACAGCATATTATTTAAAGTATAAAAGTACCAGACATGACATAATGCTAGGTACGAGGCAGTCAACAGAACACTGGTCTCAGAATCAGGAGACCAGAATTTGCATCCTGGCTCTGTCACTTTCCAGCAGTGTGATCCTGGGCGAGTCACTTAATTTCTCCAATACACTTAATACCTTCCTTATCTCAATGTGTAGTTGGGACAATCACGATAAAAATGAAATCATATGATAGCCCTTAGCATTACATAAATATATATTATTATAAAAACTCCAAAATCTTATTAAAGCTATCTTCCACTCTATAGCTAACATTGCTGCCTGTGAATTTCACTTATTCTCATGGTTTGCTACTTAATATGTGAATGAAGATTGAGCCCCATTTTATTACCTAGATTTAGTCTAATAGTTACAAAGTCCACAGCTTTTTTCCCTAAACTTATTTCGTAGGTTGCAAATGAAACCTCCAAATATTTTTGAGCAGAAATATAATGATTACATTAAGTCTTTCTTACAAAAGAATGACATGATTAAGAAAAAAATAAAACTTTGACCCTGCTCCTATATTCAATAAATGATGTTGGGACAACTAGCTAACTTTATGAAAAATGAAAATAAAAGTAAAACTCTATCTTTACTTCATTACACCAAAACATATTCCATATGAGTCAAAGATTGAAATTAAAAAAAGGAAACCACAGACGTTGTAGAATAAGGAATGGGTGAATTTATTTATAATATTGGAGTCAGAAATCCTTTCTAAGCAGGATATAAGACCCAGAAGTGACAAAGAAGAAAGTAAATTAACTACTTAAAAATGTTACACCTTTGTCTGAAAACATCACAAAGAAAGTCAAAGGAAAAGTGACAAGCTGGAGAAAACTATATGCAACATAAACAATAAAAGCTAATTTCGATAGAGTTCATATACCAACATACAGCAGGCAGTTCACACAAAAGAAATTCAAATAGACCATAATTTAAAAAACATAAATGAAACTACTATGAGATACCATTTTTCACCCATCAGAGTAGCAAAAATTAGAGTCTGATATATCCCGTATCAATGAGAGTATGGGAAATAACTCTAGCTATGGTGTGAGGACAAACATCCAGCAATGTATATAAAAATAACAATTCTTACACTTTTACCCAGCAAATCTACTTGTAGAAATGTATGCTATGGATATACTTAAAAAGAACGCCAACAATATTGATATTTAATAGCAACAAACTAGAATCAACCATCGCTAGTGGTACGGCTTAAAAATTTAAAAAATAGTATATATATATATATATATGCAATATAATACAAAATTACGGAGCTATTAAAAGTAACTAGATTTTTATGTGCTTACACAGAAAGCTCTCCAAATATTAAGTGAAAAAAGTAAAGTACAACGTACTGTATACAATATTTCCCCTCTTGTATAAATAACAACCATATACACATTCTCACATATTACCCATAATGTAAATAAAAATTTTCTGAAGATATAAAAAACGTATATGTTTTCTTTTGGAGAATAGAACATTGTGGTAAAGAAAGTTATAACCTTTATTCTTTACTTTTTGTACTGTCCATTGGGTTAACTGGTGAGATTATGCAACTATTTGTTTTTGTCTTTATTCTTTCCAATATTAAAAAAACCAAACCAAATGTAATAAATTCTATTGAATTTGTTTTAAATAAATATTTTAAAGTAGGCTATTACCTTGTTCAATACGAGTAGCCAGGTAGAGCATCTCTCCCTGAGCAGCCAACTGGTGAACAGACAAAGCTAAAACAATACCATAAAATGCTTCATGTATATCTGTAGGGTACACTTTCACCATCCCATTGTTCATGTTTGTGCCACAATTTTCTTTTCCCAAATAAAAACTATCACCATAAAAATTTAACTTAAAGTATATCCTAACATTACAAGTACCCATCCTATAATTGAGAACTGACTCTTATATGTTCATTTAAAGTAATTCTGACATCTGCAAATTGTTATTATCAATGAGATTTATTCTGAAGAAATGGTTTAGGTACTTAATTTTTAAAATGCTATTTCTGTATCCAAACTTATGAGGAGGATAGGTCTAAAAGATACTCTTTTTGTCTTATTATTGACTCTATTCAAGTCCTAAATATTCTTATTTTAAAACTCCATGGGTTTTTCATTAGTAGGAGTGAGGTAATAAATGGAAAACTAGCCTTAAAAATAAAATCTTGCCTGTAGGCCTAGCTGTGGCTAATTAGCTGTGTGATCTTGGATAACCAATTAAACACTTTTTGTCTGTAACATGAGGGCTGTGAACCAGATGATCTCTAGGTATTTCTTTTCAGCTCAAAAATTTTATGGTTGAACAGGCATTGTTCTATGAGAATTCTCCTTAAAAATTAGTAGGACTTGATTGATTGTTGACTTCAGTGATATGACTGTATGGCCTTAATACAGAAAGGAAAGCAATTAGGAGGCATATACAAATTTATTTAAGTAAACTATTAATGGTCAATAGCTGAGGTGAGAGTCCTAGAGGAATACTCTTCCTGGCTTAACTGCTACTGCATGTGATTCAGAAATCAGGAGGGATTTAGTATTTCTAAAGTAAAGAGAGTGGGCTGGCCTGTTAGCTCACTTGGGAGAACTTGATGCTGACAACACCAATGTCAAAAGAAGGGTTTGGATCCCTATACCAGCCAGCACCAAAAAAAAAAAAGAAAAAAAGTAAAGATAAAGACTTCCCCATGTATTAATATAAAGATACATTTATATTATATTCTCAAATACAGTTACTAACATCAAATTGCTAACTGGTTTTCTCTGATTAACATATTCACACTGTACAGAATATTTTCTAGTTTAAATATGAAAACTTTAATTCATTTATTTCCTCTAGAATGATTCTACATTTTAAAAAAATGTGGATTCAAAGTTTTTAAAATGGTGGTTTCAAATTCATATTTTATATTCAAATTCAAAATTAGAGTACAAATCACTCAGCTTTTACTACAAAATCATCTGTTGATCAGTGATCTACTTAATAAGTAAATATGAGGCCTTGCACTTCAAGAACACAAAAATACTGACGTCTTAATTTGCAGAGTTCAAAATAACTCATTGTTTTTATAGATTTTAATAATATTTCAATCTGTATTTGTTCTCAACAGAGAAATATAAAACATGAAATATTTTAAAATGCAGTAATACAAGGGTTCTTCAAAAAGTTCCTGGAAAGATTTGTATTCTTTTAATTCTATTCTTTTAATTCTATTTTTCCATGAACTTTTTGAAGTATTCTCATAAATGAAAAAGTTTTAAGTTACTAAACCTAATAGAACATCACTTAAGCTTTCAAAAAGAGAATAAGCATTTATTTATTTAAAAATTTTCATTTTTAATTGACAAATAATTGTATATATTTATGAAGTGCAATGTGATGCTTTGATATGTGTTTACATTGTGAAATGATTAAATAAATCTAATTAACAAATCCATCACCTCACATACTTATTTTTTTGTGGTGAAAACATTTAAAATCTATTCTTTTAGCAATTTTGAAATATATGATGCATCACTGTTTATTAAAGTCACCATTCTGTGCAATATGTCATCGAAGCTTATTCCTCTTGTCTAGCTGAACCTTTGTACCTTTGATCAAAATCTCCCCTTTTCCCATTCACTTCTCTCCCTCAGCTTCTGGTAACAACCATTCTATGCTCTACTTCTGACTTCTACTTTTTTAGATTTCACATGTAAGATCCTGTGGTATTTGCTTTTCTGTGCTTGGCTTATTTTACTTAGCATAATGTCCTCCAGGTTCATCAATGTTGTCACAAATGACAGAATTCCCTTCTTGTTTAAGGCTAAATAGTATTTCACTGTGTATATATACCACATTTTCTTTATCCAGAGAACATGCATTAAATGGAAACAGTGTTTCAAAGCCAAACTCCTGAAACAATTATATTAGTAATAAAAATATTTCAATACATCAGTGGCAAATACTTACAATTTGCTAATAGAGGTGTGGTAGAGACCTCATTTCCTCTGTGTTTGTTGGTTAAAGTAGTTGACTGTTTTATGGGTGAGAAATGTTTTGTTGTAGAGGGGGTGTAGACATGCCTTACTTGAATTCCCGGAGACGGAGATGTATGGATATTGCATTCAGCTAAGTAAAAAAATGTAGACACAGGAAAACATTGTTTTAAGCTTATTTAAATGCTTATGGACAAAACATTTCAATAAGAGTTCTATGTCAATGTCTATATTAAAAAAGAAATACATGAGGTATAATAGCTTCAACTCAACTGTTTATCAAGCGATATTAAATTAGTTTTGTCATAAAACTCTATACTACTATAGTAAAAATTCCAGAACAAAAAATGTATTAATCTTGAGCAATTTCATTCTAAGACATTAGTTTTATTATTCAGTAAATCTACAGCATGATGACAGACTTTACTATATTAAAGCAAAGGAAGCTAAAGCAAATTAAATATTCATAGAACAGGGAATATTAAGCTAATTCATTTCTAAAAGACACAAGAATTTTTTTTCCCTGATCTTAAAATAAGGAACTTCATTAGAGAATTTGTAAATAAACAAAGGTTAGGAAAGAAATTTTTAAAAAATCAACATGTACTTCCTTTAAGCATTATATAACATGAAATTATTTAATTTTAGTTTCTGTGAGATTCTAGAAAATCATACTAAACATGACTTCCAAACTCTCTTCCCAAACTCAAAATCTCATGGTCAGAAGAAAACAAAAAAAACAAAAGCAAAAAACCAAAAAACACACACCCAAGTAAACAAAACCAAAATCAAATGTAGATATTTATACCATAACTTTCAACCTTTAAATAGGACAGATGCCACCTCCAGGTCAGAGTTAACCTGATCTTGAATGTTTTTACTATCCTCTTCATTTAAGGACTTCACAAATCGAGAACACACATTCATATCGAATCGGTTAGGCAATATGAATTTCATTCCCATGGCAACACCCTGAGCTGATCCTTCTTCTGCATTTGGGTCCAGTGGATGTTCTATTTTAACGTCTGGCATGCCAGTTAGACTATAACTGCTGGGACACTCTTCCACTATCAGTTGGGCTCCAATATCCAGATTTGCTGAAGTAGCCATAATTTTCACTGTAGACTCAATTAAAACATTTCTTCATGACTTCCTCTTGGTTTTATAGAGCAGTATCCAGTGTATTCTTGGAATCTGGATATTAAAAAATCTGCAAGAAAAAATTAGAAAATTAAAAGTATTGTATCAATTTAGGTAAAAGTACACAAAGTAGTCACTTTCAATCAGTACTCTTATACGCACCTATAACCTAATAGAAAGTATACAATGTTCAGAAATTGAAAAACCTGGATACAAATCTAAACTTCACCATTTATTAGCTGCATGACCTGTACATGTTACTCAACTTCTCTTATGCCTCAGTCTCATTTGTAAAATAGGAATACCACCATTAACCTTACAGGATCCTGGTGAAAACCAAATGATATACAGTAACATTCTCATCTCTACCACTACATTTCAACAAATTTTAGTTGTTTCTCCCCTTTCCTATACTTGAACATAGCCAAATGGATAAAAGATCAGGCTAACAATGAAAATAAACTTACATGTTAAAACTTTAAGCTCTTACCTGAGGTTTATTTTTAAAACACGCTATGTTTATATAAGTGGCTTTCAGTTTGAATTTAAGATATAATTCATGATGTATCCAAGTTTATTAGTATTGTTATCTATAACATCTGTGATTCCTAGACAGTGAAAGACTTTACAAAGCTTTGGTTTTGATGAACTGAAGGTATATTTATCAGTTTTTGTTCAAATCAAGCATTGCTAACTTACTATATATTTTTATAAAAAATAAAGTGTGTAGATTATGGATTGGCTTCCTAAGATATGTAATTGTCCCAGATGTATATAATCACTTGAGACAGGAAGAAAATTAATAATACCCAGTTAATTTTTTCATGATAGGGTTTATTGGTTCCTAGAAATTTTGACAGGGTGCAAGGTGATTTAAAATTGGAATTAATAGAGAAAAATGCATTAGAATCACAGTGGGGAAGGGGCCGGCAAACCATAACATTTTACGGATGACCACTGTTTACAGTTTTAAAAACATTGATTGATCCTTATAACAATCCTTTGAGTAGGCAGGACAGGTAATCACCGTGTGCACCCTAGAAAGGAGAAAAGGAAGCGCATGTATTATAAGAGACATATCGACTCTTTTGACTCCAGCACCCATGACCATTAAGACAAGCAGCAGCACTAAATTAATCCATTGGAGAAGAGTTGAAGAAGTAACACATGGTAAGAAAAAAAAAAAAGTTAATACACTTTAGAGAAAAGAAAGAAGGAAACCGGAACAGAAAATTAGTTCAGTGATTCAAATGGAGATGTAAGTGCAATGCAGAGGTCCATGGGTCCTTAAAAGGAATTGCACAATATGAACTGTCTTGCCTGAGGGAAGAACCATCTCCCCAACCCTCTAACCCAGGGGTGGGCTAAGTGCACGTCCCCTGAGCTCTCTCAGCACCCTGCATATATCTACTTCAGTATTTACCATTGCCTTGAAAATTTCCATTTAAACTCCCACTAAATTGAAAACTCCTCTAGAATGGGGACCACTTTTACTAAACTTTGTACACAAAACAGTATTCGGTCCTAGAAGGTGCTCCATAAATGTTTCCTGGTCTGAACTTTAACAATTTTTCCTTTTCTTTTCTATCCTGAAATGACCGAGAAATGCTCAACAAACATTTGCTGATTAGATCTGGCTTTCCATTCCCAACATTGCCACCAACTAACTGTGAAACCCTGTACAGATAAATCATATAATTTTTTTGAGATTTATTCATCTGTAAAATAAAGTGTTGAAATAGGCATTTTAATATTCTTTCCAGCTTTAAACAGCTTCCAAATTATAAATCAGAGTTTATAGACGACACTAGTCTTTGACGGGAGAACAGCAAGTTTGCTTGGCGGGGAGTGGTTGGAAACAGAACGCTTATCTTGGCACTACTCTAGAATGGAGAGGCAAAGTTGATTTGTAAGCCAAAATTTTGAAGAATAGGAGAAGGAGGGGAAAAAAGACTGAACAGAGGAAGCTGTGAGAAAAAAGAGGTAAGGCCAAAGACAGCTACGATCACTTCTGGCAGAGCCCAGGCATGAAGGGAGAGAGAGCCTAACGAGGCAGAGTGGGCAACTGTGCTAGCCCCAGTGAATGCTAATAACAGGAGCCCCTTCCTCGCTCCCACCCTGGTTCTCCATTATCCTGGAATTGTCCTACGAGAGGAAAGTGCTATGAAAATGAATGATGCCTCACTGGCGACAGGTGTCTCGGCGTCCCAGGACAGGAGCCCGCTGGAGGGGAGACGCTTGTAGGGAGGGAAGTCCGCTCTGTCGCCACCGGCTAGCTGTGCCGGAAAAGTCCCAGGCTGAAACTCGCTCACCCGTGGTGAGCGGATGCCGGGGACAAGGGCAAGAGGCCGACCGAGTGGGCGCGCAGAACCTTGCGACCACCTTTGACAGCAGAGAGCGAGTCGGGCCTTCCCGTTTGTGGTCACAGATTGAGCACAGGTCCCCAAGACCGGGCTTGTTTTCGCCACGACGTCACTTCCGATTTCTTCTTTCACCTTCTGGCAAAAAAAACGTGCCGCAGCCAAGAGGACTTCCAGGGTTTCTTTCTTCGTTCCTTTTTTTTTTTTTTTTTTATGTCTTACGCTCTACGGTCCATCCTGCCCAAATACTACGGAGACAGGGTCATTGCAGTTGGCCGCTCTGGCCGCTCTGGCCGCTCTGGGTCACCAGCGCAGGCCTCGCGCTCTTCCGGCCACGCCTCCTCCTCCGGATCTCCTAGCCCGCCTCTGCGACAACGGGCTGCGTGGGTCTCGTGAGTATGCGCCGTTACGTCATCTTCGCGCGACGTTTCGTTCTTCATGTGTGTCGGCGGGGCATTGAGGGTCCGCGTGATTCCTGCAAGTGATCCAGAACGGTCCAGGGTAGGGAGCTGGCGGAGTCCAAGAAATTGTCCTTGAAGGTGGGGTGCCCCGACGGACCCTTGGGGCCCAGCAGAGGTAGGTGAAGGCGGCTCCCACTGGGAATGGACCGGACTTACATCGGGCCTTCCTGTGGAATCTGGTATGCTCCCAGGCTCCACAGAATGGCTACGCTCCTTCACCGACCTCTCAGGATCCCCGCAATTTTGCTTCGACCTAGATTTTCCTCTTCTACGATCATACTCCCTCCTGCCCACCGTTATTAGTCCCTGAAGTAATCTGCACTCCTCCAAGGGAATGGACAGAATCCTATCTCTGTCTTTGCTTAGGAGGTTCCCTCAGTTTCGAATGGCCACCCCCGCATCTTCCTTTCACCCACCCCCCCTTCGCCTTTGCGCCCATCTCAAGTGGTGAAGCAGTTCTAATGTTATACTTCAAGGTCCAGTTCTAATGTTATACTTCAAGGTCCAGCTGAAATGGCACACTTTACGGATGCCTCCCAGATAGAATTATGTCTTCCCCTTTTGAGCTCTCAGTACTCTGCTTTACTCAGAGCATTTATTTGACGTTCTGCATCGTATCACGGTAGTATCTGTTATTCAGTTAGTCCCAGTGTTATAGGCTCTGATTTCTCCCTGATCATTTTCTTCCTATTCCTTCTCATATAATTTCTTGCCTCATGCTATTTGCACTCCCTCCCCCCACCCCACCTGTCACCCCCCACTCCCCGCTGTTCCTCTCTGTGTAATCTAGCAAACCACTGCTACCACTCCTCACTTCTTTCCTGTAAAGTTTTAAACTATTTCTGGCAAGGCAGAGTTAGGTACTGCTTCACCTATATTCCTATACTATAATAAGAGGCAAAAAGGGGGCGGGAAGGGGAAGATCTCGCCTGGTGCCTGTTTTTGTGTATCCAGTGAGTCAAGAATGATGTTTACAGATGAGTGTTCGCAATCTGTTTCTTTTTTTTTTTTTGTCTTTTTGTCTTTTTTTTTCCGTGTCCGGCAACGGATCGCAACCCTCAGTGTTGCCCCCATACCGGACCGGGGACCGGCAACGGGATCGCAAGCCTCGGCGTTGCTCCTGCGCCTCGCTCAGCCAGTGAGCGGGAACCGGTCTGTACGTGGGATCCGAACCCTCGGACGGGAGCGCCGCTGCGCTTCCCAAGCGGCGCACTATCCAGTGCGCCACCAGGCCGGCCCTCGCAATCTGTTTGATGATGGGAAATACTGACTTTAAGCCTGAATTAAGCAAAACGTTATTCCTCTCCCCCAGAGAATACCATTTTTCCCATTCATAAACAAAATTATAATTATTTGGGGGGATTGTTAATAAATATTTGGGATATTTTTTTTCTTGTTATATAAATAATTACATAATATTCTTCATTTTGCCTGTTGGCCCACAAAGCCTAAAATTTTACTATCTGGTTCTTTACAGAAGTTTGTCAACCCCTGCTCTATAGCAATGTTCATATTATAAGCATCATTTGTAATTTAATTTTTTATTTTCCCATAGAACTCAGTACAATGCTTCCTTACTTTGCTTCCACATTCTTTCAGCGCTTTCTTTTAAATCTTCCTGACACAAAATGATCAGTTTAACAGGGAAAAGAGATTGTTACAATGCAGTGTAATTATGGGTATTGACAGAGATATGCAGAATCAAATAGGATCATAGAAGACAGGTTCCTGACCCAACCTTGGTGATCAGAGAAGTTTTCTTGGAGGACATGATTGCTGAGTTGAGCCTTAAATGATAAATAGGAAGTAGGTAGAGGGCATTTCTGGCAGAGAGCAGAAGTGAGCAAAGATATTGAGCCAAGAAAGAGTGTGGTATGTTAAGGGAACAGTAAACAATTGGGAATAACAAGAGGTGAGGCTGGAAAGGTAAGCAAGGGTGAGATCAACAGAGGGCCTTACATGCCATTTTAAGGAGATTGGGCCTTATTTTCTAGGCAGTGTTGGGTTTTGTAGCAAAGGACAGCTGGTGGCTATTTGGAAGATGGACGGGAGTCGGTGAGACCTTAAAATGATGTTGCACTAGTAGACGAGAAGGCCTGAATTAGGGCAGTGGAACCTAGGGGTGAAGTGGACGCAAAGAAGTTTACAAAGATTTGGGAGGTAAAATCAGCAGATCTTGCTAACTGGTTTTTAGGAGTGAGGAGGGAGGACAAGTCAAGGCTGAGTCAGATTCCTAGCTGGTGCTGATCACCAGCCAAAATAGAAAATATTGGAGTCCAGTCTGCCCTCTGTATCCGTGAATTCTGCATCTATGGATGCAACCAATCTCAGACTGAAAATACAGCTGTCTCTCAGTATATGTGAGGGTTCTGGTTCCAGGCCCCCTCCCCTCTGAGTATGCCAAAATCCATGGATAATCAAGTCCCACAGATGGTTCTGTAGAACCTGCATACAAGAAAAGTCAGTTCTCCACATATTCTAGTTCCTCATCCTCCAAATACTGTGTTTTCAACCAGCTGTTGGTTAAAAACTCTGCATGTAAGAGGACCCGTGCAGTTCAAAACCATGTCATTTAAAGGTCAGCTGCGTTCTAAAAAAAAATTGTGTATGTACCAAACATGTACAGGCTTTTTCTCTTGTCATTATTCCCTAAACAATATAGTACAACTATACTTATATACTTACATAGTATTTACATTGTATTAGGTATTATAAGTAATCTAGAGATGAAAAAGTATAGGGGAGAATGTGCATAGAATCTATGCAAATACCATGTCAGGGAGAATATCCATAGGTTATATGCAAGTACCATGTCATTTTATGTTTTGTACTTGAGCATCTGATTTTGTTGTCCTTGGGTGGTCTTGGAACTGATCTCCCATGGATATCGAGGGACCACTACTGTATGTGAGGTCACAGACCATGTCTGCTTTACTCACCATTGTATCCCCAGTGCCTAGAACAGTGTCCTGCACATTATAGGTACTTGAAAGAACAGAAGTTTTCCCCCTTTAATCACTGTTTGCCATGTTTCATCAAAACAGCCTTTAAAATAATGTCATGCTTATTTATTTGATGTTACATCAGTAACATTACTGAAGTAATGTTTCCAGGCTTTTTGGAATAGATGATGATTAATGTAACACTTCTGGAATCCTTCACCCGCTAACATTGAATCTCTTGCAATTGAGTAGTTTTGTGTGTATTTTTTTTTTTTTTTTGGTGGCTGGCCGGCATGGGGATCCGAACCCGTGACCTTGGTGTTACAAGGCTGAACTCTAACCAACTGAGCTAACCGGCCAGCCCCGCAATTGAGTAGTTTTGGAAAGATGTTTAGACTTAATTACATGTTAGTTAAAAATTTTAACTTTTTTTTTCTCTATTCTGTCTTTTAATTTAGAATTTAATTTCAGAATTGCTGTTTTCTGGTTTTCTTTCCTACTCTTTAAATCTTGTAAAATTAATTTAATTTTTAAGTTTCTTTATCAGAACATTATCTTTTAATTTTATTTTAAACTTTTAAATTTAATTTTAAGCTTCTACATTAGAATGTTCACTTTGTTTTCTTCTTGGCATTTTTAGGCTTTCAGGAAGTCAAGTCTGTAGACTATATTTTTATAGATTAAATACCATCTTAAGCTTAGTCTCAGCAAACTTTTGTGTTTGCGGTTTCATCCTAATGTTTTCAGTTGTCATATAATGAACTCTCTAAGCTAATGCACTTCTGTCTGGTTGGGCTACTGGCAGGCTGAGCCAGATTTATTCCTAGGTGTTATAAACAGGTTGGTTAGGTGTGAGAACATTTGTGTATGGTCTCTGTGTACAGCTGAGTAGATGGTGCAGTATGTTAGTCCTTATCTGCATTATTTCTGCTTCCTTTAGATACTCTCTTCTCCCTTTCAATTAAATGGTTTATTGTTCACTAATCTATAAACTTCCACACATCCTTTTGAAAGAAGGTAGAGTGAGCCGGCCCGGTGGCGCACTGCTACAGTGCGCCGCTTGGGAGTGCAGCGGCGCTCCCGCCAAGGGTTCGGATCCCACATACAGACCGGCCGCTCACTGGCTGAGCGAGGTGCGGGAGCAACACCGAGGGTTGCGATCCTGTTGCCAGTCCCGGTCCGGTACAGGCGCGACACTGAGGGTTGCGATCCGTTGCCAGACACGAAAAAAGACAAAAAGGAAAAAAAAAAGAAGGTAGAGTGAAAATCATAACTCTGTGTAAAAGTTTATGATTAACCCATGTATATAAAATATTTTCTTTTTCAGACTTTTAAAGGGAGAATCACTATAATTATTTCTAACATCAAATCCAAACTACTGACCCTTGGATAACAGTGTAATTATATGAAATTATGGCTGGTTATAAACCTGTAGCTATTCAGACATATCCTATACTTGGTGAAAAAATCACTCAAGATACACTGTACTGGAACAATTATAAGGTGAGTATGGGAGATAATGAGTGAGGAGGGGATTAGCATTATGCCAGTTTCTCCAGCACATGTTGCACTTTGGATACTCTAACAGAGAACTAGTAACTAAAAATAATCTATCAGCAGCTTATAGTTTGGGTGGATAATTAGACATCTGTTTTTTCTTGGAATTTTATGAGAGTCCATACTGCTTGATCAGTTTAACGATACAAGTGCCTAGCACAGAATAGATGATTAGTCAAGCCAAATGAATTAAATTTTAGAATTGAATCTCATATGCAAGAAGATATTTTCTTGCCTTTTTTTTTTTTTTCGTGTCCGGCAACGGATCGCAACCCTCAGTGTCGCCCCCGTACCGGACCGGGACCGGCAACGGGATCGCAACCCTCGGCGTTGCTCCCACACCTCGCTCAGCCAGTGAGCGGGAACCGGTCTGTACGTGGGATCCGAACCCTCGGCGGGAGCGCCACCGCACTCCCAAGCGGCGCACTGTAGCAGTGCGCCACCGGGCCGGCCCATTGTCTTGCCTTTCTTAATCTAAGGAAGAAGTAGTGTGAAATTAGTTCTTCTGTACCATCTAAAAAGGCTTACAAATGACTTTTTAAAAACTGAAGAACTAAATAGAAAAATTGACAAATTTGGAATTGGGAAGTTTATGAGAAAAGAAATTTAAATGGCCAGTAAATATATTAAAAGAGACTCAGCTTTAATTGTAAATAAAGAAATACAAGTTAAGACAATAATTCAGATACTATTTTTCATCTATAGGTACCAATGAAAAATTTTGGTCATCATTGCTACTTGAGGGAGGGAAATTGGTGCAAACTTTTTGGAGGGCAATTTGGCCATATCTATCATGGTTTTAAAAATGTACATACCTTTTGGCCATATCTATCATGGTTTTAAAAATGTACATACCTCCCAAAAGATTGCTAAAGTATATGTATAAAGATGTTCATTGAAGTATTATTTGTAATATTATATCTTGAAAAACCTATGTGTATTAATAGTAGACTGGTATAGTAAATTATGGTGTGTCTTATAATGGATGGTAAATCTACTGCTCCTATGAAAAGTTAGTTAAGATGTTTTATCAAGTGAAAAAAAAGCAAGGTTTGGAAGAGCCTGCATGGTATAATAACCTTTGTGTCATTTTTAAAACATGATAAAATGTATGCTGGTATAGGCATAACTTTTTTTTTTCCCTGTGGCTTTCTAACCATAGATTTATTTATTTTAATGGCAACAGGGATAGTATGGTTGATGGGATATGGACCTTTTTTGCTTTCTTCATAATTCTGTATTAAATGCAACCTAGTAAATATTACTAAGAACAAGAAGAAATCATCTGTAAAAAATTAAATAATGCTTACATAGGACTTACCAGTTGTAACTCTGCTAATATTCTGTATTATTTTTCATTAAGACCCCTGTTCAGATCAAGGAGTTTGGAGCAGTATCGAAAGTAGACTTTTCTCCACAGCCTCCATATAATTATGCTGTCACAGCTTCCTCAAGGGTAAGTACAATATTAAATGTCTTTATTTTTCTTTTGTACAGTTTACTACTGACCTTGAGCCATCTGATGAAATACTATTTTTTATCTTGTAGATTCACATTTATGGCCGATACTCCCAAGAACCTATAAAAACCTTTTCCCGATTTAAAGACACAGCATACTGTGCTACTTTTCGACAGGACGGTAGATTGCTTGTGGCTGGCAGTGAAGACGGTGGAATTCAACTTTTTGATATAAGTGGGAGGGCTCCCCTCAGGCAGTTTGAAGGCCATACAAAGTGAGAGACAGTTTTTATGTGTTTTTGTTTTGTTTTGTTGTAAGTTCTGTTCTTTTTCTGGGCTTTGAATAAAAACAGAACAGTTCTATGAAGATTATGTACTTGTATGTACTTTATTTCCTGGTTGTTCTAAGACAGGGTGCTTAACTTGGGTTCCGTGGTCCAATTTCATGAGGCTTATGAATTCCCTAGAATTGTACGTGACATTTTAGGAAATGTATGTTTATCTAGGGAAATGTTCTTTTATTAACTCCTCAGTGGGGTCTGTGACATAGTTGAAGTTAAGAATCACTGATCCACAGGCAACCTCACAACTATTAATGACAGCTTTATAGCCCTGGACTATCTTAGAGGCTGTTATGTTGAAGCCAAGTCGGAAGGTGGATTTTCCTTTTCTTCTTGGATTTGTAGTATTTTGCCCCTTGATAAAATTGAATGGCCACTATAATTCTATATTATAACTTTGTTTCAGGACTACCAATATCATTGCTGAAATTTGCTACTGATTTAAAAATCTCATGTGCTTTTTATTGTGTATTATTAGGATGGTCTTTCCCCATCAGTAAAACATTTAAAATATAACAAAATTCACTTAACATAATTCTACTTAGTGGCAAGTCTTTTTAGAGTTAAAAATTTTTTTTTAAATTAAAAATGCCTTTATTTCAGCATTTATTTTTATTTTTTTTTAATTTTTGTGACCGGTAAGGGGATTGTAACCCTTGGCTTGGTGTCGTCCGCACCGTGCTCAGCCAGTGAGCGCACCAGCCAGTCCTACATAGGATCCGAACTTGCAGCCTTGGCGCTCCCAGTGCGGCACTCTCCCGAGTGAGCCACGGGATCGGCCCTATTTCAGCATTTAGAATATTCATCTTTATTAAGCAGCTAAGTAGAGTTGTTAACATACTAGAAAATATAATTTTAAGGCTGTTGTTTAGTATTCTTATTAACTTCGTAGTGCAGGGATATTTACATTTCTAAACTGTCTTGGAGGCAGACATCTGTTTTAAAGGTTTTCTTTTTCTCTCATAATTTCCCTCTACAAATACTTCCTGGAACTGAGTTGCTTTTTTTGTTTTCTGGTAAAAGAGCATTTTAAGTTAGACAGTGCTATAATATTTTTCTTGCTTTTTAATAAACTGATCCTTGATCTTTCAGAGCAGTTCATACAGTAGATTTTACAGCTGATAAATACCATGTGATCTCTGGAGCTGATGATTATACAGTTAAATTATGGGATATTCCAAACTCCAAAGAAACTCTTACATTCCAAGAACATTCTGATTATGTGAGGTGTGGATGTGCTAGTAAATTGAACCCGGATCTCTTTGTAACAGGTTGGTGAGCTCTTTTCCCTCCTGAAGTAGATAATCTTACTGGGATATACTTTAATGTTGCTGTGGTACTCTTTTGGGATGGAGAGGTGTAAACATTTTTTATAAAGGAATATGTTTCTGATTAATTATCCAATTGTTTTTTTATTTTCTTTTTCTTCTTTTGGTGGTTCTTGTCTTCCAAGTGTATTTGGAAAAATCAGGCTGTCTTGAAAACATAAACTGTCAGAACTGTAAATGGGTTTGGTGCTCTGGTTTTCAGAAAACCTCTAGCAGCCAAGAAACAAATACTGCAGTTTAGCCTTTGTGGGTGGGTGCCTATGCAAAGATTCCCAGATGATTCAGTAGTGACAGTACTCTGAAGATAGGAATAATTTAAGATCAGAGCAAGTTAAATTCTGTGTAATATAGTATAGTGCTTCCTCAGAAACAATTAATGGTAGCAAAGGGTTTAAGAAGTATTGTGTCTTAATGTATATATGTATAATATGTGTCTTTTTAAAATTCCACCTATGCTTTTTTTTCTTTTAAAATTGACGTCTGGCTACACATACACACACACACACACAGTTTTTGTTTGAAACTCACATGATACAAAAAATTAACATTTTAGGGTCATATGATCATACTGTGAAGATGTTTGATGCACGGACAAATAAGAGTGTTCTTTTTGTTGAGCACGGGCATCCAGTGGAGAGCGTCCTGCTTTTCCCTTCTGGAGGTCTTCTGGTATCCACAGGTATTTCTTTCAAAAATAGCTTTCAGTATTGTTAGTCTTGAATCAGTTATTTCTTTATCAATTGCTATTATAATTTATCAGTGTAATTAATTTTTCCAAGGAAAAGTGGGTAAGTGGCAGATCTGAAATCACAGAACTCGAGAGCCTGTATTATGTACTTAACCTGTACCATTTTCTTTGACCCCGGATATCTAGGTCATACTCCTTCTGTTATTACTACCTAAGATATTTACGGCAGTTTTTGAAAACAGGTTATTTCAGATCTAGAATCAGCCTTGTCTCTTTTTATGTGACTCTCGTGATTGAAATGCCCTTACCCAGCATATCTGATAGTGCTAGAGGAGGAGATAATGTGAAATCAAAAGGGGCCTTGATACAATTTCAACAAGTTGAACTTAGGTGTTTTTTTGTTATGTTGAGCATAGAGCATTTTCATAATTATAATGGAAGAAGTAAATTGGCTTTTTTCATTTGCTAATAAAGTAAAAATGTGTTGACATTAGAAGAGTGTATAGGTTGTATGTATACTTGATAGCATATATATGGCTCTAATTTTTCTTAATTAAGCCTTTTTTTCCCCTAATTCTAAAATCCAGGTAGAAATTATTCTGTTTTATACTCTTTTCCCCAGTGCCTGTTTGATTTAAAAATAGGCTGGCTGGTTAGCTCAGTAGGTTAGAGCACAGTGTTGTAATACCCAGGTCAAGGGTTTAGATCCCCAAACCAGCCAGCCGCCAAAAAAAAAAGTTGATAACATTGTGAGGTGTATCTACTTTTCTTGCTGTTACTTTGGGAAATGGAAATAGATCTATTTGAACAGGAAGAATGGATACCTGTGTGCTAATCTCCACTGTGCCACTAGCTAATTGTGTGACTTTGGGCAATCGTTGAATTTCTCTAAACCTTGAAAATGTGAGGTTGGACTAGATCAGTGGTTTCAAACTGTAGTCCCTCTCATGAGCTGCCACATGTGAGTGGTGGGGTTCCAGACCCTGTTCCCCAATCAGGGTAGATAAGAACCTCACTCTTCCTTCCCACTCCATTTTCTGTTTTTTGTACTAGACTTTTGCTTGATGTTTTGCTGAAAGAAGATGTTATATTAAAAAATTCTTTTTAAATCATTGAATTAAATTACCTTTAAGGATCTTTCCAACTCTCAGAATAAAATTATAGGGAAGTTTTTTAGTTTTGTTGGGGTTCACAAAATTTTTTGGAAATAAAATCCACATTATTCATTTCCACGGTTATACAGAATTTCTTTTAAAGATTGACTTTATTATAATTTTCTTAAAATGAGATATTTTTCAGTCACACTTTTTATTTTGCTAAGCATTTCTATGTACTTCACAAATATGAAATTATTTGTCATAACAGTTCTGTGATGTAGGAACTTCACTATTATTATTGGTCACATATCCAGTAAGTGGCAGAGCCAAGTATTTAAACCAAACAGTCTGGTTCTGGAATCCCTCGCTCAGCCTCCGTGCTGTGGAGTGTCAGGTGAACAATACTTTTTAGATCTTTAAAATTTTGAGTATATCGGCAGAATATCAAGTTAATGATTATTTCTTTTTATAGGAGGTCGCTATGTTAAAGTCTGGGACATGTTAAAAGGAGGACAGTTGCTAGTGTCTTTGAAGAATCATCACAAAACTGTGACGTGTTTATGTCTGAGCAGCTCTGGACAGAGGTTACTCTCTGGCTCACTGGATAGGTTAGCATTTTAATTTTCTTTGTTCATTATTATTAGTGTACAAGTGTTTACCACTTGAGGAAATGACTTATTTCAGCAGTATTCGTAATAAGTATTCCAATAATGATTTCCATGAAAAAAAATCTGTTGAGTTGAAAATAGTTTTGACCTATAATTTACATAGTTACTTATTTTCTCCTTTTACATAATTTGTTTTAACTTACATATTTGAGCACTATATTCAACCATACAAATGATAATCTTTTAAAATAATTTTATTCTATAGTTTCTTTTAAAATCATTATTATGCATTCATGGATTTTGAAATTTTTATAATGAATATAGGTATATATTCTAGTTTATATCCTTTAAAATTTGAAATTTTGTGTGGACATTTCTACACATTAATGTGATCCAAATATTACTATTTTAAATAGATATTTAGTACTCCATTAGTTAATGTTCTAGAGTAGTGCTGTCCAGTAGAAATATAGGCCACACATGTAATTTTATTTTATTTATTTTTGGGTGGCTGGCCAGTATGAGGATCTGAACCCCTTGACCTTGGTGTTATAATACCATGCTCTAACTAAGTGAGCTAACTACCTAGGCCCACATATGTAATTTTAAATGTTTTAGCAGCCACATTAAGAAAGGTTAAAAAAAAACTAGGTAAAAAATTAATTTTAATAATATGTTTTGTTTCACCCAATATGTAATACAAAAGTAAAATATATATAAAACATATACAATATTTTAATATGTAATCAATGTAAATTGTAATTAAAATTAAAGACTTTGTTCCTTATTTTCACTAGCCACATTTCAAGTGCTGGATAGCCACATGTGACTAGAACTGTGGCACAGTTCTAGAATTTACTTTTCATCTATTGTTGGTCATTTTATTTCCATATTTCCATTTTTTCTCCCATTATGAAAAGCCTTCGTTTTCAGTATGTTTATTTTTTAAAAATACATATTTTAAAAGCTAGAAAATATTTTTTAATAGAGAAGAAGTTATCATGTAAATGTATGGCAGATTCTTTGAAATAGTGTTACTAGGCAATTCGGAACTTGATTTTTAGATATATCCCTAAAAAGCTAAGGGTAAATTGGCTCTGTTTGCTGTGGTTCTCAACCCAGAGTGATTTTTATCTGCCAGCGGGCATTCAACAATATCTGGAGACATTTTTGGCTTTTGTCACAACTTCAGGGCATGGTGCCTTTACTATATGGCGGTAGAAGTCAGGGGTGCTATTAAACATTCTACAATGCACAGAACAGCCCCTACAACAAAGAATTCTATGGCACAAAATGTCAGTAATGCTGAGGTTGAGAAACCCTGCTGTTTTGACTTCAAATGTACTTTCATTGCTACTTTTTCTTTACTCTTTATCCTCAGATAAGAGTGATTCATGGTCTATCCTCTTTTAGAAGTGGCTAGTCAAAGTCATGCAGACGTTATGATTAATGCTGATATACTGTTCACTTTTTTTTTAAGGGATTCAGTGATGAATTACTTTGTAATTAACATTACTAATTGTTTTACTTCACTGTTGTGTAAGTTTTAGTATTCATATTTTGAGTTTCATGCTCATTTCCAAGAGGATTTATGACAAAGCTTTTCTTTTTTATTAGGAAAGTGAAAGTATATAGCACAACTTCCTACAAAGTAGTTCACAGTTTTGATTATGCAGCTTCAATTTTAAGTCTTGCACTTTCAGTAAGTACTTTTAGCTCTTTTTAAAGCTGTCACTAACCTTGCCTGTTAAATAAAACTAAATGGAATTTCAGGGTTTATCTTGGATTTGAAAAAGTGTTCTTGCACATTTGATATTTAAGGTAATTGTTAGAATATGTGACCTCCCCTAATAACTTAGCATAAATTCAGGCTTAGGTCCCACTCACTACATAGCTTTAAACTAAGTATAGTTCTGTAGGCATTGTTAACACTAAGTACAGGACCTGGGAAGTTGATAAATCTCTCTTCAACCTATTTAACTCAAGGATATTATAATACTCTGTAAAGGCATTTGGCTCTCTGAGCAGACAAAAAGGTGGGTGGAGAAGGGGTCAACAAAATGAAATATCTTCTTTTCTTTATTAACCATTCTTTCTGAAATGTATGCTGTCAAGTTTCATCAGGACCCATATTGGGCAGGAAGACATTTTAATATATTATATAGAAGTCTGAATTGGGGCTGGTCCAATGGTAGTGGGTTATCAGAACTTACTAACATTAGTGTCACTAAAATTGGTATACAACCCCCCACTGCTAAATTTGACTGGCTGTAAAAAAAAAATCTTATTTGGGAGAGGAAAAGCTTATTAAAAAATATTTTGAGGGGGAAAGATTGTAGAAAGTCATGCCACCATGTAATCCTTGATGTTATTACTGTGTATTATTATACAAGCTTTGCCAGTGATATTTTACAAGTGCAATAAGTTCTGTCAACACTGTATCCCAGAGGAAAAAATGATTTTGCTCTTTTTGCATAGATCATCGTTAGGCAGAATATCTGTCTGAATGGAACTGTTGGTGAAAATATATATTAATAGCAAGCACATTACAAATGTTATTTTGAATTAAAAGTACTATAAATTATGAATTAGGAATAGATTAACTGATTTTTCTAATTGCTGTTAGCATGAAGATGAAACAATAGTTGTAGGAATGACCAATGGAATACTGAGTGTTAAACATCGGAAATCTGAAGCAAAGAAGGATTATCTTCCCAGGAGAAGACGACCTGCATATCGAACCTTTATTAAAGGAAAAAATTACATGAAGCAACGGGTATTTGTGTATTTTGCATATTTGTTCAAAAGGTGAAATTTGTTAGAGTAGCCAACTCCATTCCCTGCACGTTATTGGAAAGCATAGTTCACATGGCAACTAACTTTATTTTGCTTTTGTCTACATCAGAATTATCTTCAGATTGATAGATTGAGTAATCGGGAACAAGGACTACTTTATTTCATACTCTGAATCATAACATAATGTTACAGTGCTTTATCACATGCAAAATAGTGTCTTTCACATGCTAGCTGATTTGATCTTCTGAACAATGCTGAAAAGTCATAGAGCCAATAAAGTCCCCATTTGGCACCTGAGAAAATTGAGACACAAAGAAGTTGTGATTGATCCAGGGTTTTATTACTAGTATCTAGAGTTGTTGAGACTAGATCTAAATATCTCTGATTCTTGTTTTAGTTCTCTTTGTACTAAAGCACACTACTTGCCATGTAAAGGGAATTGAAATGAGTAATTTTTGCCCAGAATTGAGGCAATTGTGTTTGTTGTAAGTTAAAATCATGAAAGAGTAAGAACACATTGATTTGGCAGATTATTCCATTTTCATTTCATCTGCATTATGGGCATATAAACATTATTTGTGATATAGTTCAGGGGCACCCTGGTTAAAAAAAAATACCACTCCATTAAGAAAAAGTTTATTTTGAGTTGAGCTTTATGCAAATTGATTTTTCTCCTCTATAATTTACTTTTCAGGATGACATTTTGATCAACAGGCCAGGAAAGAAACACCTAGAATTGTATGACAGGGATCTGAAAAATTTTCGAATCTCTAAGGCACTTGACAGAGTTCTTGAGGTGAGCGAGGAGCATTTTTTAAAGAATCATTTTATCACTTGCCTTGTGCACTACTATGACTTGGGACTGTGAAAGGAAAAACCTATTCAAACTTGGTAATTTAGTGCAAGACAGTGATTTTTTCCTTGTGTTGTCTTGTCTGCTCATGTTGACTCTGATAATTTTTCTAGCCTGACTGTACGATAAAGACACCTGAAATTACAGTTTCCATCATAAAGGAGCTAAATCGAAGAGGAGTCCTTGCAAATGCCCTTGCAGGTCGGGATGAAAAGGAAATTAGTCGTGTTCTTAATTTTTTGATAAGGTATGTTTTATGTCTATGAGACACTTGTATTTTGCATCTGAAGTCCTTCTTTATCACCAAATGAAAGACGTTTAGTTTGATCTTTGTAGAGAACTGACAGAACATTAGATCTGTTTTAAGAAGTTTTAAAGTTACCAATTTTCATTAAATAGAACTTTTGCTTTGTAGGAACCTGTCTCAGCCAAGATTTGCCCCTGTTTTGATCAATGCTGCTGAAATAATTATTGGTAAGTAGTTGTTAAAACTTGAAAATCCTAGGGGCCGGCCCGGTGGCGCACTGGATAGTGCTCCGCTTGGGAAGCGCGGCGGCGCTCCCGCCCGAGGGTTCGGATCCCACATACGGACCGGTTCCCGCTCACTGGCTGAGCGAGGCGCGGGAGCAACACCGAGGGCTGTGGTCCCGTTGCCGGTCCCCGGTCCGGTACGGGGGCAACACTGAGGGTTGCGATCCGTTGCTGGACACGGAAAAAAGGATAAAAGACAAAAAAAAAAAAAAACTTGAAAATCCTAGCATACTTGCAAAAGTAGAGTGTCAAATAATAAAATCAAATATGGAAATCAAGTAGATCAAATTATTTTGGTTTTATCAGTTCTCCAGAAAGGATCTTCATGGAGCAAACAAACGACGACACCAACAATAGTTGATGCAATATAAAATGGAATAAAATGTTTACAGTGGTGTGACTTTGAATTGATTGGCACTAGGGTTATGATTAAATTTTTTTTCATGAACATTTATAATGGTCAACTATTTTTTTTTAATGGGAGAATGAAAATAAATCAGACCCTTCACTCTGTACTTTAATTATTTCTTTTTGAAATAAATTTATCTAGACGGATCATTATGCTTTCTATAAATCATAAATTATAAAATACAGATTTTTTCAGTGCCTTTATATTTAATATTTTTATACTTTATCTAACTATTGCTTTTTACTTATTTGTATAAAGATGTTCATAGTTAATGTGTTTTCTTTCTCTTTTTAGATATCTACCTGCCTGTGATTGGTCAGTCACCTGTAGTTGATAAAAAGTTTTTGGTACTTCAGGGACTTGTAGAAAAAGAGATTGATTATCAAAGAGAACTACTAGAAACCTTGGGGATGATGGATATGCTGTTTGCTACCATGACAAGGAAAGAAAGCACTTCTGTGTTCAAACATACAGCTGATGGATTTCTCGAGAACAAGCAGATAGAATCATAGTGTCTGCTTAATAAGACATAAGAACTCCTAACTTGGAACAGATTTGACTCTATTAACCATTGGAAAGAGAATCTCTTTGATACATTAAGAAAACTATTTACAGAAGCAGTTTTTTGGAAGAGACTGGAATAATTATGATTGGTAAATACCTATTTTAAGACATGGTTTTTCATGTAATATTTGGAATTATTTTATGTCATCTTCAGCTAGAAGATCTAAATTGACATGGTCACACTATATATCTACATTGGATGAGTTGATGTTAATTTTAATACAGCAAAGTTTTCTATCTACACTTGGGTAAGCATTAAGAAGGGAGTTCAAACATGGACCCTCAGGAGAGGGTTCCAACTGGGAATTCTGCCAAAGGAACAGAGTCTTGTTTTTTTTTACTTCTATCCTGGAAAACAACAAAAACAAATGGCAACAGCAACAAAAAACTCTTCACTGTAATCAGTGCCCTTGGGATTTCCAGGCTCCTGCTTAGCTTGCCTCTCCTCTCCTTGATATTGTCACTTGTCTTAGATCACGTGCTAATCTGCTTCAGCTGGTAATAGGACGGTATGTGTTTCAAGTGTGGCAAATCAGGGGTCAGCTCTTAATAATCAACACTAGCTGGCTAAAAATTGTGCTCCATCCCAGGTTTTTCTTTTTACTTCTTTAATCTTGATTGTCCTTATCAGAACAAGGTCTACAGATAGACCTTATTGGACCACGTTTTTTTCCCCTTCCTTTCAGTATTCAGTCTTTCTACCAAATTTTCATTTTTGCTTAGGTCAGGGGAATGACCTTTCAGCCTATTTTATATATTTGTTTGGAACTTATTTTGTAGCCACCTAATCCTCTGAGAACTATTTTCTCTGCTTTGTCTTTAGATTTTTTTCCCCATTGTTCTTCATAATCATCTTGTTTCAGAACCCCAAACTGGAGCAGTTTGCTTTGAAAAATAGCTGTGTTTTTGAAAGTTCAATATAAATCACATTTTTTTATAAAGAGATTTTTATTTTCTTATTGGCTTTCTGAGATGTATTAATTCCTGATGGATAGTCAATGGATAGTGACTCTTAGCACACTGATGTCACAATTGCTACCTCTTCTACCTTCCCTCTATTCTTACCCCACCTCAATTAATTAATAATCTGTAAAGAAAAATGTCTTGAGCTAGAAGAATCCTTAGAGGAAGATTTTGTAATGCAAATCTCTCATAATTTTAGTTCTGTAAATTCAGCTTTTTTTAAAGCAGAAAAAAGTGGCATACTTATATGTTCTAGTAATGGCATATGCTCAAAATGTTCTAGTAATGGCATATGCTCAAACATAGGGTCTAGTTTCTCTTCTGCAAATTGATTTAAGCAATCCATGTAGTACAATGGCTTGTAAGATATCAGGAGTTTGCTTCCCTGAGTAATGAGGTTAGTCAAGATCAGAAACTTCAGGTTGAAGAGAGTTAATTTATTTAAACAATTTCTGTTGAAAAGCTTTTAAAAAAATAAACTTCAAAAGTATGCTGATAATTTGCATACTAGTAAAAATGAGAAGTTGAAATTCTATCTAAAACTATAGCTGCCATCTGGTAGGTGACATGTGACAGGAGTTTTCCCATACATTATTTCATTTGATTCTACAACAACCATCTAAGGTTGGTATTATTCTCAGTTAAAATTGAATTAACTAAAGAAGTTCATTCACTTGAAGTTCCCAAACTTGAGTGCTTCATCATCCCAGCACTGTGAACTGGTCTGCCTGCTAAGGCTAAACTACTCAATAAAACCTCACTGAGTGCTATAGTTCTCAAATGAAATATGTAATTATAAATTTTCAAAAAGGAAACAATCCCCATAATCATAAATACTTTAATGTTAAGTTCAGGAGTTTTTTACATTCATTGAGACAAACTATAGTATTTACTATTTGAAGTATTTAAACACAATTGGCATATTACAGTATGTGACATTGGCCTTAAGATTCTAATTAAAAATGCCTAGCAGATTTTTACACTTAGAATTTTTAGTTCAGAGGTATTTTTAAATGTTACTAAGCCTACAAAAATATTGAAATGTTTTTCAGAACTTAGAAAGTCACTGTATGTTTAATTTATTATATTTATAAGAGTTAAGCATCCAGGAAGGTTTTGCTTGTTGGGTCAAACATTTGAAGTGCTATTTAGAAAAGAATCAGTCTATGGCCTTACCATTCTGAACGTGCCCAATCTTTTCTAAAAGAGAATTACATTCCTTGAACCTATAAATGCTATTAAGTCATTTAAAAGAATTTGAATTGTAAATGGGACTGTTAAATTTAGTATGTTCAACTTAAATGAATTCTACCAAACAGTTAAAGGCTCCCTTGAAAGTGAGTATTAAAGTGTATTCATTTTCTAAGTAGAATATTTGTAAGTTAAACTTACATGCTTAAGGAGATATTTTAAATGCTTTATTTTAGCTATTTTAAATGCTAATATTTTAGCAAGTAATTAGTTTTTCCTATGAACAAAATGCCCTCTTAGACTCTGAAAAAAACACTCTTATTGGTAAGTAGGTGTCAGCATGACTATTCCTTCAGTCATGGGTAACTGGACCAGAAGTGTGGGTCAACTGACTCAAGCCTTCTCTTACCAGGGATTTGTAACTGGGACTTATAAGTTATTCATGATCTTGGAAAATGTGGGAGGTGGGGAATGCTGTGTTTGGATCATCAGGAGAGAAAGCTTGTCTGCAGAGAGAAGGGAGAATGAAACCTAGTGCAGAGAAAATAAAGACAGATCATCCTACCTTAGGATGAGACTAGATGAGAGAGAAACAGTCTTAGTTCCTGATGGCTATGTCCCTTATTCTGGCTGTACTTCCTCCCCCCAGAGGTCCATGAGATTCTTTGGAACCCCTCTAATAAATTATTTTTGCTTAGATGCGAGTGTGTTTCTCTTTTTTACAACCAAATGATTCCGAAGACACTAATCCTGATGTTTCTTCAGACACATTAGAGGCCAGGGAATTGGGGTTACAGCAAGGAACAAAACAGACTCAAATTCCTGCTCTCTTGGAACTAATATTTTAGTTGCAGGAGATGTTGAATAAACAAGTAAAGTATATAGTGGATCAGATAGTGCTGAATGATGTGGAGAACCACCAGGCAGGTGAGGGAGATAGGAAATGATTGGGGAGACAAGTGGGTTGAGGTTTTAAATGGAATAGTTAAGGAAGGCTTTGCTGGGGTGACAGTTGAGCAAAGTTCTTAAGGAAGTGAGGGATCCTTGACATCTAAGGATCAAAGATCCTGAGGCAGAGGCATGCCTTGGGAATTAGGAACAGCAAGGTGGCCAGTTTAGCTGGTGTGGAGCAAGGGAGAGGAGATGGAAAGATAAAGTCACAGAAGGGCTAGAAATTGGAGACTGTTTAGATAGCTCTTTGGATAGTTTTACCATAAAAAGGAGTGGAAAAATTGGGCAATGGCTGGAGGGATATGGGGTCAAGAGGTTTTTTTGGTGTTTTTTTTTTTTTTTTTTAAATTAATGAGGTGTAGTTAATAGGCTATAAGCTACACATATTTAAAGTGTTCTATTTGATATATTTTGACATATGTACTTCCATGAAACCACCACAATCAAGATAACATGTTCGACACCCTCAAAAGTTTCTTCCTGCCCCTTGGTAATTCCTCCTTTGTCTCCCCGCCCCTCCTCCCCCGGCAACTATTGATCTACTTCTGTTACCACTGAATGGCAGTTTAGTTTGCATTTTCAAGAATTTTATACAAATGGAATCAGAATTTAGGGTGGAGGGGTGGTGCCTAGCTTTTTTCACTTAGCGAAATTGCCTTAAGATCCATACTTCATTTGAGATTTAAGTTGGGAACAATGACAGAATGTATGTCAGTGGGGATAATCCTGTAGAGAGGGAACATGATACAGGATGGGGGGTGTGGGGGGGTGCTGGACAGCAATTGCTGGAGCGATGTCCTTAGGAGGAGGGATAGGGCCAAGTGCCCAAGTGGAAGGGTTGGCTTAGATAGAAGAGTGACTGGTTTGGGTATGGTTCAGAAGGGAAGACAGTACATACAGGCACAGATGAAATTTGGTGGGTAAATGTGATAGTGGAGGTTTGTGGAAGTTCTTTACTGGGTACCTTCATTGGCGAAAAACCAAAATGATAACCAACTGAAAAAGGTGGGAGGAGGAGGAGGTATTGGAAGTTTGAGGAAAGAACAGAAAGTATGACATACTCCTAGAAAGGCTGAGAACTCAGACTTCAGCACCATTTGCCTGGATTTGAATCTTGGCTTGACACTGTGATTTGGGGAAAGTTATTTTACCACCTTGTACCTTTTTCCTCCTCTGTCAATCAGAAACAAAATTACATAGGATGGTTGTGAGAATTGGGTTAATATCTATAAAAGTACCTAGAATATCCCTGTTGTTAGCTATTATTATGATGATGGGGGAATAAATGGACTAGACAATGAAATAGGATTACCAGGAGCACCAAGGATTTTGTGTTACTGTAGTGGATTTACAGTGTGACTGATTAGCATGATTGTATGTTTTTCTCTGTTCACATTCAGCTGTGAGAATGCAGATGTGGAATAAGCTGAGATATGGATTTAACCAGCTTTGGAGTTTTCATAGGTGAATGAAAAGTAATTGAAAAAGAGCAAGGGTGGTGAGATTTATGCAAAGGAGCGATTATGATTCCATGGAATCTAAGCTAGGGTAAGTAAGGAAATGAGGTCACAGGCAAGTGAGGACAGTGAAAACATAGCTGGGTCAGTAGACTGTGGAGCTGAAGAAGTGTGTTTTGCCTACTAGAGATAGTGAGCTAGAGACATGAAAGATCTTGGTGAGAGAGCAAGAATTATGACAGCAGTAGTGTTAGAGGGGCCAGGAGCTAAAATGTTCAAGAAACAATGGGGAGTGGCCCAGTGATCTGTGATGACCAACAGGGTGGGATATTAAGGACATAGTCCAATGAACTGAGGATTCAATAGAGAGGCCTTCTTGGGAAGGAGAGAGGGAGAATGGTCTGGAAACAGCATTAAGGATCACCTACCCCACCTATTAGGGCAGTTGTATGAGGTGTAGGAACAACATTAGCACTTGAAAGGACTGTAGACAAAGGAGTGTCATCAGTGGAGAACCAAGTTTTAGTTAGATCAAGGACTTGAGAATGTCCAGAGCAGAGGTTGAGGATGTAAGGGGTATTGCTGATGACTGACTGTAAGAACCAGAGAGCAGAGGCAAGGGTCTAGGAGTTGGAGAAGGATAGAAATGGAGGCAAAAGAAAGGATGTATGGAGTCTAGAAGATGACAAATGACCTAGAGGTCCTGGCCTCTTGTGGTGATGACTGGCATAGAGAGGGCTAGAGGTCATTATGGCATTAACCCCGATCATCTTGACATAGATGCTGGGTGTGAGGAAGGGAGAGAGGTGAGATCTTCCCAGGAGCTTGTAGAATTCTGGGTACCTTCTTCATACCTGCTGCACAGGTGTTGTGGAGGGTGGGAGGGGGCAATCATTTTTAGAGAAACAGGAGAACAGGTTAAGTTCACTCAGCACCGAGTAAGTTCACTCAAGTTCACCCAGTTTGTGACAAAATTAATATTCAAACCCAGGCAATTTGGCTTCAAAACCTGGACCATTTACCATGAGGTGAAACTGCCTCATCCTTGTTCATCTCTCACTTCCTCCCCATATCCGAGCAGTCTCCAACGTACTGCCCAACTGCTGCCTCCTGGATGTCCTCTCATTTCTCCAACCCCATTGCCATTCCCTTAGTGACCCTAACTAATTCTTCTGTCGACTACATCAGTGGCCTTTCTTACAGCTGCCTCCAATCCATCCTCCATATTGCAGCTAGAGTGGTCTTCAGACACACATTCAATCTCATCACTCCTTGAGATGGTGTATTGTGGAGTTAGGGAGACTTAAAAGGAGGGAGTAACTGAATGGAGGGTAATGATATTGGAGACATGTGATGAATAATCAAACCGTCCTTCACTTTAGACCAGGCAGCTTCCATGTGGAAGGCTCTTTGGCTTGGGATACTGATGATGTTTTCCTTGGCTGGAAATTTGTTCCTTGAAGACCCTGATGCTGGTTCAGAGCCTTTCTCCACTTCTTTTTTCTATGGATGTTTCTTCCTCAACTCTGTTTACGTCTGTTCAGTTTCTTTCTCAATTTCTTTTCATACAGTCTGAACACCCAACTACTCCCCATTCTTACCTGTCAGAACTTAAGGGCAGGGACTCCTGCTGACATCACAGATACACTTTTATGTTACTTAGCTTGGCAGAGAGTTAAAGCCTTGAGCTATCCCTCCTAAGGGTTTTCTAGAGTCTTTTCCCACCTAGGCCCAAATTTTTTCTAGCTTCTACCTGCACTGTATTATACAGTAGTCACTAGCTACATGTGGCTATTTAAATTAAAATGAAAAGATCACTGGGCCACTCCTTATTGTTTCTTGATTTTAATTAAGAATTATTAACTCAGTTTCTCAGTCACACTTGCCACATTTTCAGTGCTCAATAGCCACATGTGGCTAGTGGCTACTGTGATGAATAGCAGAGATATAGACTATTTCCGCCATTGCAGAAGGTTCTGTTAGACAGCCTTGGGTCCCTGAAGAAGTGTGATCTCTTCCCATCTGGGGCGTGGATCCACTTCCTTAATTTGGTCTGAAACATTCACTTGGCAACCACTTGATCCACCAACCTGCCCAGCCACTGGCCTTGGCCCTTCCTGGCTGTGTGAGGGTTCTCGACAGAAATAGAACCAATAAGACTATATCTATATCTATGTCTATAGCTATATATCTATATCTATGAGAGGATTTATTAAGGGAATTGGCTCATGCAGTTATGGAAGCTAAGTTCCATGACAGACCGTCTGCAAGCTGGAGAACCAGGAAAGCCAGTAGCGTGCCTCAGCCCAAGTCTGAAGGCCTGAGAACCAGGGGTGCCACTGGTACCCCAGTTCTGGAGTCTGAAGGCCAGAGAACCTGAAGTTCCGATGTCCAAGGGCAACAGAAGGAGGGTATCTCAGATCCAGGAAAGAGGGAGAATTCTCTCCTCTGTCATTTTGTTCTATCAAGACCCTCAGCTCAGTAGATGGCGCCCACTCACATTGGGTGAGGGCGGCTCTTCTTTCTCAGTCCACTGATGCACATGCCAGTCTCTTCCAGAAACACCTTCACAGACATACCCAGAAATAATGCTTTCCCAGCTATCTGGGTATCACTTAATTCACTCACACACCTAAAATTAACCATCACGCTGGATATGGCCCCTCTACTCCTTACTTGTGGTCCCCGGCCCTGAGCATCCCAGATCTGCCCCTGGGTTTTCTTCCTCTCACTGATTCTTACTCTTAAACCCTTTCCGTGGCTTGATTCTTCCAGCCCATGGCTTGATTTTTCCAGCTGCTTTGCACCAGCTTACCAGGTATTTTCTCCAGCAGCTCATGAACCCACAGGTTTGGAGAGAGGTCCCTTAGGACTGCCGCTCTGTGCTTGGCAGCTCCCCTGGCCAGGCTGGAGGGGCCCTCCCCACCTCGGCAGAGCCTTGAGTGGTGCTCAGGCAGCATCAGAGGCTCACATGCACCCACTGGCATCCTTCTGTTTATTCACTTAACAACTATTCTAGATTGCAAACTGTGTGCCCAAGGTCTTGGGGCTGTGATAACAGGGTGGATGAGGGCAACCTTCTAATCTTTGGAGGCTTCTCATGTTGAAGACAGCCACACCCACGCCCCGAAGTTCTCACCACTCTCTTCCTTAACTAGAAATGCTTAACTAGCATCCTCTCTGTGCTAGTGCAGGTAGCTGCACACTGTGATTGAGATTCTGTCAACAAGAAACATGGAAACAGCAGGGTGGGTTCTAGCAAGCTCAGGCCACTGCTGACTTTCCCCATTT